GGTGGTATAATAATAATATTCTAATATTATTCATTCGCTTTTTAAAACCCATCCATACCCAAATCCACTGCCGTCGAGTCGATTCCAACTAGCAACCCTGTAGGGTTTCCAAGGCTGTAAATGTCTACATCTTTCTCCCACGGAGCAGCGGGTGGTTTCGAACCGCCCATCTTTCGGGTTAGCGGTTTAATGCTTTAACCACTGGGCCAGCCATAGGCCTGCTAACTTGTTCCTCAAAATTCTTGCATTCAGTATATATCTCGAATACTCATCAGTAACGCCTCAAGTGAGAAAAACATGAACAGAAACTATTTGATCTCCTGCACTGTCCTTTTAGGTGGGATGGCAGTCTCCACCTGCAGGAGAAACAGATAACCAGGCAGCCCAGCACAGCGGTCAGGAGCACAGCTTTCAGGGTAGGCAGATCTGGGTTCTCGTTTCCTGTCTAGCACTTAACAGATGGGTGGTTTGGGGCCGGTGATTTCACCTCTCTGTGGCTGTTTTCTCATTTATAAAACACGGATAATAATACCTTCCTAACAGGGATTTCTGAGGACTAAATTATATTGTACATAAAATGTTTGGCACAATGGGAACTAATAATAGCCTCCAGCTAGACCATAATAAACATCCTCCTGCTTCGTTCACACACTTTCAGTTTTTGCAAGTCATATGATAATATAAGTGGTACGTTTTTTCAGAAGTTTTTTAAACGAAGATTTCACGTTTAGGTCCTTTCACCCGCAAACTCCTAGAGAAGTCTAACATTACCAGATTCTTACTTAAAATGAATAACTGTTATTTGCTGTGGAAGAAAGGAAAGTCTTTCATCTTTTACTTATTGACAATCTTGTATTGAGTACGGACTATGAGGGGCCCTTCAAGAGTGTTAAAGGCACCGCCCTAGCATTTAGGATGTTTGATTTTGGATGGACGGGAAGAAGCTAAGCACAAAAATAATTACAATACAAAGCAGAGTAGGGTAAACAATAATATAGTTAACATCTATTAATGTAGTGGTTAAGGGCATGGTCTCTGGAGTCATAGTGCATGGGTGCAAAATCCCAGCTGTGTGACATTGAGCGACTTGGTTAACCTCTCTCGTGTAACCTCACCTGTAAAGTGGGGATAAGAATAGCACTTATTAAGCAGGGCTGTTATGAGGAGTACCTTAGTTAAGACATATACAATACTGGAAAACACTGGGGCGGTTCCTCAAAAAACTAGAAGTAAAAGTACCATACTGATTTAGAAAATAATATTTGGAATCATTATTCCCTGACCGTGAGCATGGAGAAATGTGACCCAGCTGGGGCTGGGCCCTCACAGACTCACAGACACATCAACTGGGCCCTGAGATAAGACAACAGATGGGACAATCTCAGAAATTATTTTAAGGAAGTTTTCACAAAAGGGCAATAAAACCTAACCCAAAGGACTTCTCACCTTTTGTCTTTTTCTATTAACATTTAGTGAATAGGAATTCGTTGGACCAATGAAGACTTTCGTAACTGAAACCTGTACCAATGACTGTTAAGAAAGACGATTCAAAATGTAGGATCACAGTTTCTAGCCAATCTGTGAAAAGGCTAAGCTTTCAATGGTTTTGCTCGTTTTGTAATGTTAATATATACTGATGGCTCTGTAACTATTCTTGGAACTCGGGCAGACCTGGCTGTGGCAGCACGCTTGTCCGTTTTCCCCTTCTTGCCTATTCTGTGATATCCTTTGGACTCGGGCAGACATGGCTGTGGCAGCACGCTTGTCCGTTTTCCCCTTCTTGCCTATTCTGTGATATTCTTTGGACTCAGACAGACCTGGCTCTAGCAACATGCTTGTCCGTTTTCCCGCTTTTGTCTGTTCTGTGATATTTCCTTGGATTCGGGAAGACATTCTAGCTCTGGGAGCATGCTTGTCCATTTTCCCACTTTTGTCCTTTTGAATATATGCCAAATAAAACTTTCTTTTTACGTTACTAAACTTTGTGATGTTTTTCCCCTCCAACAATACCAAAACCAAAAAACCAAACCCATTGCCATAAGACCCAGCAATTCCACTCCTAGATATCTACCCAAGAGACTTGAAAGCGGAGACTCAAACAGAGACATGTACACCAACGTTCACTGCAGCACTATTCACAATAGCCAAAAGGTGGAAACAACCTAAATGTCCATCAACAGAGGAATGGATAAACAAAACGCAGTACATACATACAATGGAATACTACTCAGCCAGCAGGAGAAATGAGGTCTTGATACATGCTACAGTATGGATGGAGCTGGAAGACATTATGATGAGTGAAATAAGTCAATCACTAAGGGACAAATATTGTATGACCTCAGTTATATAAAAAGACAAGAAAAGGCAAATGTATAGAGAACAAAGTTTTTTAGTCGTACCAGGGGCAGGAGGGAGGGGAAAAAGTGGGGGTTAATAGTGATGGAAGTCTTGCATTGATTAAGGGTAGGGTTGCATAGCTGATTACTGGAATTGCAGTCAAGTTGTACACCTATAAAAAGTTGAATTGGCAGAAGTTGTGTGATAGACATATTTACAAGAACAGCAGAAAAAAAGTAGCTGCTGAGCCTCCTTATGTACAACCTAAATCTTCAAGGGATTTGGTTGCTTGGTTTAGGGGTTTAGAATTGTGGTTTCATGGGACATCCCAGTTAATTCGCCTAGTAACTTGCTTAGTGTTTCTGTTCTATCTTCTAGTTCACTGCGTAGTGCCTGAAGTCTTAAGAGCTTGCAAGTGGCCAACCGAGGCACAACAATTGGAGCAACAGAGGAAGAAGGAGAGTCAGGAATAGGAGGACATGGAATGCGTGGCTAACTGCCTCCTTTGCCAGGAGACCAGAAGACCTGGATGGTGCCTGGACACAATTACTGAACATTTTGATCAAAGATTCTATAGAAGAATCCTGATCAAAATGGGGGAAATACAGAACACAATTTCACATTCTTATGGGCTCCAGACTTACTGGAGCCATGAAGGTTGAATGAACCCCTGAAACTATTGCCCTGAGATAATCTTTAAACCTTAAACCAAAAATATCCCCTGAAATCTTAGAACCAAACAATAGTTTAGCTTAAGTAGTGAAAAATGTCTGCCTTGAGCATTATGCTCTTTTAAGAACTATCTATATGGGATCAAATTGACAATAGTAACTTGAAAGATTAGATAGGAACCTTAGGGAGCAGTGAATTTATGTTAATGGGGGAGGAACAACTCAGAAAAGGAAGGTGAGAATGGTTGCACAACTCAAACAACGTAATCAATATCACTAAATGGTACACGGAGAAACTGTCAAATTGGTGTATGTTTTGCTGTGAATATTCTCAATAACAAAAATAAATAAAATGTTTAAAAAGATATAAAATTTCTCGCACGGTATTAGCACAGCAAAACTATGCAATAAATAATAGCTAACATTCATTCAATACCATGTTAAATGCTTTTTGTGCATTACTTTACATAATCTCCACAATCCTGCTTTGTCTATTATACTCACTTTACTGATAAGGCAACTTGCCCAAGATAACAGAGCTAGTGAATACTCAATGCCATAGTTAACACACAATCATCTATAAAATGGGGGTGATGATAATAGTACTTACCTTAACTCGAGTTAAATGAATTAATATTTGAAAAGTGCTTAGAACAGAGCCTGGCACATAATAAGGTCTATGTAAGTGGTTAAACAAATATAAATTGCTATGGAGATTCAGAGACGGCAATACTTCCATTCATGGTGACCAAGGAAGGCTTTGGAAAGGTGGCATTTGAGCTGGGCCCTGAGTGGTGGATAGCATTTGGAGAGATGGAGGTAATGGGAGAGAACATTTCAGACAAGGGGGTTAAAAAAATAAAGGGGGTAAGGAGTGGGAGAAAGCTTAGGATATGTAAAAAGAAAAAATAACGGGGAGTAGTTAAGTTCGACTAGGGAAAAAAATCTCCCCTCCAGTCACTATTCCTGCCAGCTGTTACTTCCTACATATATCTCTTATCAGCTTCCTCGGTCCCTGTGGAATCTGCTGTCTCCACCTCCTTATCATAATCGTCCATTTAACGATATTTACGGAGTGCTTCTATTTGCCAAGGAGCCCTGGTGGCCCAATGGTAAAGCGCTTGGTTGCTAACTGAAAATTTGGCAGTTGGAACCCACCCAGCGGCTATGAGGGAGAAAAGACCTGGCCATCTGCTCCTGTGAAGGTTACAGCCTAGGAAACCCATGGGGGCAGTTCCACTCTGTCATATAGGGCCGCTAAGAGTCAGAATCGACCCAAGGGTGCACAACAATTCCATGTGCCAGGTACCGTTCTAGGTGCTGAGGATACACTAGTGACGAAGAAAGGCCACGTCCCATTCCTATTTCTACCCTAAAACAATCCTCCGAGCTGGATTCCAAACTTCTGGTCGGCCCCACTCCAATTCGTGCTCCACAGTGCCAGAGACTGTAGAGATACAAATCTGGTCCTGACACTCCTTTGTTTAAATCCCCCTGTCGTGTTTTCCCATCGTGTTCAGAATAAATTTCAGCCTCCTCAGCATCCTGTTCGAGGCCCTTCACTAACTGGCCGCCGTGCGGTCTTATCTCTCTGCCTTCGCCTCCACGCACTCTGCACTTCAGCCACGGCAAAGCCCTCGAAATCCTAGGTACACACCCTTAACAGATAAGCACTTGCTGAAAGAACGTGGCTAGGACTCAGCCCTATTTTATCCCTTGTCCACTGAAATATTCCGCACGCCTTGGATGGAAACGCCCCCGTTCCCCCCTCCTGCTTTCCGAGGCTAACACGCAGCGCGGGAACCAAGTTCTCCCACTCGTAACCCCTCGCGCACTCTCCTCCCAGCCGCCCCTTCCATTTACAGACGCGGGCGCAGACCCCACCCTAGAGGGAACCGGAAGGGGAGGGGCTTCGCGCGCACCCGGGCGCCATCTTGGCTGCAGTGGCCGGAAGTGAGAGGTAAAGGGGCGCGGACTGAGGCTGCGCGGCGGCCGCTCCGCAGCCCTGGGTGCAGGTTGTATGGCGGCGGCGGTTCCGACCCTGCTGTGGTGCAGCCTAGCAGCCCCCCCGGCCCCCTCTGCCATCTGTCCCAATGCTCCTCGCCCCGCCCCATCACCCGGCGGCACGCACACCTCTCGGCCGGTGGACGCGCTCTGCCCCTGCGTGCCCGCAGCCGTGGTGCGGACGCCCGAGAGCGGGGGTCTCCTCAGGCCGAGGGGGGAAGGATGGCAGCCGTGACGGCGAGGCCGCCTCGCAGGGGGAGACCCCGAGTCCCCTCCTGCAGGAGAGCCCCGTGGAGCCCCGCGGCGCCAGGGGGAGGAGGGGGCCGCGGAGCGCGCCGCGACGCCGAGAGGCGAGGGCCGAGCTGGTGCAGCTCCAGCTGGTGAAGGACAAGAAGAGCCGCGTGGCCCGCTCCGAGACGGTGAAATGAGCGATCGGAGACTCGAAGGCTCTGTTCCCCGAGATCGTCGCGAGGGCCGCAGAGCAGCTGCGGTGTGTCTTCGGGTTTGAGCGGAAACAGCTTGACTGCGAGCACCCTGCTTCCATCCTGATCAACAAACCAAAACCTCTTGATGAGGAAGACCTGGGAGGAGGGGGCCCCAGGTCTGGTCGTTTAATGATGGTCCTGGGCCTTATCGACAGGAAAGGTAATCGAGCCAGGGAGGCCAGCTGTGGAAGATGCTGCGTCGGTTGGGGGTGCGTCCCTCAAAGTTCCTCTTTGGTTACCCGAAGAGGCTTATCATGGAAGATTTCGTGCAGCAGCGATCGATTCCTCAGTTCCAGGCGGGTGGCTCACACCATCCGCGGGAATATGAATTCTCTTGGGGTCCCCGAAGCAACCTGGAAACCAGCAAGATGAAAGTTATGGGGTTCGTGGCCAAGCTCCGTAAGAAAAGAACCCCAGCACTGGCCAGTGCAGGATCGGGAGGCCCTGGCCGGCCTCTGCTCTGGTGAGGGACGGTGGAAAAGTGGCCAGCGGGGCCCGTGGGTGTGGGACCGGCCGCCTGAGTCCGAGCAGAAAAGGGGGAGGGAGTCGTTATTTCTGTAGAAGTTGTATTTGTGTAACTTTGGGTTCGGTATCGCTACATTTTGTTACATTTAATATACTGTTAAATTGCTGTTTATAAATTAGATCGGCCGACGTTTTTTGTAGGATCTTGTTGGTTTTGTAAAATGGATTAAAAAACTCTTATTCTGTAATGCTGTAATTTTATTCTTGAAAGAATTCGGCAGTCCGATGACCTGGTTTCAGTAAAAAAACAATTAGTGTCTAGCATCCCAAGATTTTTGTCTGTTGTATCTTAAAAAAAAACTGACATGTACCTCTGTTTGCTTAGCTATTGTAGTATCTAGAGGAAAATAAAAATCCATTAATTAGAAGCAAATGCTGGTACACTTAATAAATAGTCATTGAGCATCTTCTTTTGTGTGATGCACTGTTTTGGGCATTGGGGATGAAGCGTTGAACAAGGTAAAGTGCCTGCCTTTCAGAATCAGTGAATACACCAGAAATTACACTGTGGTGAGCTGAGGGCTACAAAGGGATGCAGAAGAGGGACCCCTCACCCAGCTGAGGTTACCATTAGACCCTGGGGGAGGGGAAAAAGATGGGGCAGGTGGAGGGGAGGGGAGGGGAAGGGAAAGAGGAGGGAAAGCTGAGGGTGGGGGTGATTAGATTATTAAAAATGATTATGATCACAAATATACCTTGACAACATGAGAAGAAGACTTGATATGTGGCAAAGCTGGAAAATACTCCACCCTTGTCACAGCTTTTGGTGCAGGGTGATGTATTACAGTGCACAAACTATGATGGTGACTTAGCGCCTTGACCCGCTCCGTCTCCCTTCTCTCAGCCTCTACAAGATTCCCTCTACTACTGAAGCCCCCAGAGAGCAGAGAGTGTAACAACACTGGAATATTATATAGTAAGGATGGAGGGTACGTAAGTCCACCACGACCAAGAAGCTCCCTCTCAAGATCTCTCCCCGCTGGCACCAAGAAGCCCAGGGCCCTCCTCTGTGCTTCTACCTGCTGCTTTCTACCTGCCATCTCCCGTCTGGAGGAGACAAGGAAGGCGTCCTTAGTTCCTACTAGCCATGAAGGGCCATCTCCTTAAGCAGCTCTGGCATATGCACTGCCTACCACCTTCCCTTGGGCTAACTCCTGTAGAATAGATACACAGACTAACACGGAACCCAGAGAAGAGGTGACAAGCCAGCAATGGGTGTGGGGGGATTGTGAAACTCTCTCCCTACATCCGCCATATGCAAAAGAGCTGCTTGCTTCTCTCTCTGCTGCCAGTTCCTGCTTCCAGTTGTGTCCATATAACACCTGAGCAAAAAAAAAGCATGGAGTACAAATTAAGGTTGGCATGGAATACAAATTCCTTTGAGGCACAGGCCCAGGGACCCAGCAGATCAGATTGTGACCAAAAGCTATCAGTTAAGGGGAGAAAGTTTACTAACAATTAAAAATATGACTTCCGGGTAGTTTATAGTTAATTCATTAAAAATAATGAGTGCCCACTATACGCCAAGGACTGGTGTGTGCCAAAGTTATAAGAGACTTTTCCCTCAAGGTGCAATAATGATGATAATTTCTCACATATGTTTTCTCACAGCTGCTGAGAGGTCAGCAGAGTGGACACCTGAGGGTCAAATTACTTGGTGAGTCACCTAAAGTCACTTAGCTGGTAAAAGACGCACCAAGACTAGAACCCAACTCCCTTGCCCCCTGCTCCCCAATCCAGTGTCTGTTTCAATAAGTTGCACGTGATTTTACCCAAGAACATCAAGGATCAAATGAGGCATGTGTAATTATCTCCAATTGCCACTGCAGTCCCCATTTGCAGATGACAGAGGTGACTTTGTGCAAGGTCAGACACATAGTAGGCAAAGACAGGACTAACAACAGTAGCATTTATTAAACAACAGTTATAGGCCAAAGGCATATTTTTTTCTTACTTTTCACAACCACCTTGAAGTAAACATTACTAAATAACCTCCTTGTACAGGTATTAATGATAGTAACATTTTTGGTTGCCATTGAGTCATCTCCGACTCCTGGAGACCCCATGTACGACAGGATGAAACATTGCCGGGTCCTGTGCCATCTTCACCATCGTTGGTACGCTTGAGTCCATTGTCGTGGCCACTGTGTATTTTGAGTGCCTCCCGACCTAGGGGGCTCATCTTCCAGCACTATATCGGACAATATTCTGTTGTGATCTGCAGGAGTTTCATTGGCTAATTTTCAGAAGTAGATCACCAGGCCCTTCTGCCTAGTCTGTCTTAGTCTGGAAGCTCTGCTGAAACCTGTCCACTATGGGTGACCCTGCTGGTATTTGAAATACCAGTGGCATAGCTTCCAGCATCCCAGCAACACACAAGTCCCCACAGTACGACAAATAGACAGGTGGTGGAGTAATAGTAAAACGTGCCTTTTATTGAACACTTAAGATGAACTGGCTTTTGTATGCTTTACGTATGTTGTAGTGATTTTTGAGTGCCTTACAAGATAGACAGTATCTGTCCCATTTTATAATAAGCAAACCGAGACTCAGAAAACCTATAAAATTTGCACAACGTCTCACAGATACTCTATGATAGAACAAGGATTGGAACTGAAGTCTGACTGAGCCGGAAGCCCACACTGTTCACTATTATACATTTCCTGCGTCTCAGGACTTCTTCCAGTCTTGGGCCATCTGCCTCCCCACTTACGCTCTTTCTCCAGCACGCCCCCATCTCTCTGGAGATACAAACAAGGGCTGTGTCGCCAAGTTAATGACAGCAAGACACTGGCCTGCAGAAGGGTAAAAATGAGTCTAAAATAAAGTTGGGGGATTATCTGGGAACTCCATTGGCCCCACTCTGCCTACTCTCTCCCCGAAGTTCTCAGAGTGCTGACTACGTGTAGAATGTGGACTGTTGTCCAAACTCAGCATGTATTTTCCCCTACGGGGCATCTCTCCTCAGTCTTACTTACTCTACCCTCCCCAATAAGTCTTTTATCCATGGAACAATCAAATAGCATTCGTGGACCTGCAAATATGATTCCCAGAGTTGTTTTCAATCCAGATGGCGAAAAGGGCTGGCAGAACTCATCCGTCCCCTGCCTTGGGGGGGCCATGGGATGCGAGACCAGCAAGGAAAACTACCTCCCATGTCTGAGATGCCATCATCAGCTTCTCAGAAGTACTAAGAGTGTGGCCTCTGGGCCCGCGTGCAAAGCAGGCTTTGGCCATGGTGAGGGCAAGAGATGAATGCTCCCGGGCTTAAGGTCATTCACATGAGGGGGCAGGAAGGCCTGGATCGCCCTCCCCTCCTCTCCTTCAGGCCCAAACACAGGACTAATTCTTCCTGGGTGAAACACTGTGTGTGCACAGGTGAAGGGGGTGGAGTGGTGGTGGATGGAGTCCTCCAAGTCACACCTCAACTGCAATCGGAGAGTTATCATAGTGCAACCAGAAAGCAAAGCCACTGAAGGAAACTCCCCTGAAGAGCCTGAACCAGCCACAGACTCTGCAGGGATCTGGGCCATGTGGCCCACTGGGACTTGGAGAAGGGGTGTTTGGAAACAGGCCCATGTTGATTACACTCCCATCAGCTGGAGGGGGCAACTCATTTGCAGCCCCTGCAAATCAGACCTCGATTCACAGGCTCAATCACAGTTTCCGCTTGAGCTCATCAGGCTCCATGCCTTGGTCATGGCGGCAATGGATGCTTGTGTAAATTATTCCTCAAACTGTACAGCCCAGCAGAGAAGGCAACAATTACCTTCCAGCGGAGACCTGGTGTGCAGACGAAGGAGGTGTGCTGAAAAGCATCCTAATCAAGGCTTTCTAAAAGTTATGACTGCATGACCTTGACCAAGGAATTCCAAACCCCGAGAACTGCAGAACTAGGAAAGCATTTAGTGGGTGATGGGAGCAGGGGCGAGCTACAATCCACACCTCACCCCACATCCTACCAGCTGATTTCAGACCCTGCTCAGTTTCCCAGCCAGCCATGGCCAATAACCACAGCTGCTAGCATTTATTAAACCTTGTGTGCCAGGCATGGTGCTAAGGATGATAACCGCATTCTCTCACGCATCCACACAGCAGCCTTATGTGGCAGGTTCTCTGTTTGCCAATGTTAAGATAGTATAAGGAAACCACAAGGAAAGAATAATTTCTTCTGTTCTTTCAATGCACAAGTTAAATGACTTGCCCAAGCTCATGACATAGACGACAAGACTTCGTCTCACATACTTTGAATATGTGATCAGGAGGGACATCATGCCTGATAAAGTAGAGGGTCAGCAAAAGAGAGGAAGACCCTCAACGAGATGGATTGACACAGCGGCTGCAACAATGGGCTCAAGCATAGCAATGGTTGTGAAGATAGCTCAGGACCAAGCAGTGTTTCGTTCTGTTGAGAAAGACCTGGCGATCTGCTTCCATAAAGATTATAGCCTAGAAAACCTTATGGGGCAGTTCTACTCTGTCACATGGGGTCACTATGAATTGGAACACACTTGACAGCACCTAACAACTAACAGCATGCCATAGCTAGTGAGTGAAAGATCCAGAACTTGAACTTAATCTTCTGGGTTCTTGCTGGCATTCTACCCTGCTGGCCTTCAGATGTTCTTAGGAAGCAACCAACCTTTCTTGGGGCAAGGAGGAAAGGAAAGGAAACTTCTCACCTTCCTCATTTATATCACAACCTAGAGCATCCAGGCTGGAGGGTAGAGGCAGTGTTGAGGGGCAGGGACAAGTTGTGTGGGCAGCGGAGCCTTTTTGCAGAAGGACCCAGATTGGGAGAGGAGCTCATTTTTGAGGGATGACACCCCTTGGCTATCTCCCAGTCCTGCTGCTGCAGGTCTGTGGTCCACGTGGGGGAGAGTCAGTGAGGGCAGACAGCAGCCTCAGCCTAAGAAACTCTGGAGGGCAGCTAGACAAACAGCCTGTGAGTGATAGACACATGCCCGAACTATAGAGAGAGGTGGTTGTTGGTTATGTCGAGTCGATTCTGACTCATAGCGACCCCGTGTGACAGAGTAGAACTGCCCCATGCGGTTTTCTAGGCTGTAATCTTTATGGAAGCAGATGGCAGGGTCTTTCTCCCAAGGAGCTGCTGGGCAGGCTCAAACCATCATCCTTTCGGTTAGCAGCCAGCATTAACTATTGCGCCACAGGGCTCCTTTCAGCAGAGAGAAGAGGCCTACTGAAGTGGAAAGCTCCTGCCCCTGAAGTCAGACAGATCTGCATTCCAATCCTAGGCTGCCACTTACTAGTAATGTGGCTTCGGCTGACTTACCTAACCTCTCTGAGCTTTGGTTTCCTCATCTGTAAGATAAACAATACTGTTGTTGTTAGGTGTTGTTGAATTGAATCTGACTCATGGTGACTCCATGTGCAGGGTAGAACTGCTCCATAAGGATATCAAGGCTGTGACCTTTGGAAGCAGATCATCAGGCCTGTCTTCTGCAGTGCCTCTGGGTAGGTTTGAACCGCCAATACTTAAAAAAAAACAAAAAACAAAAAACA